CTCTTTAATGTTGAGCACAGACTTGTATAGTGCAGACGAGATTTGACTGGATTCTTCTGGGGCTTTCCCTAGCAGACTACAGGAATGTATAGGAGACCAACACAAAAATAAGTTCAGAAATGATGGGTGTCAAAAGTGTGGGAAGCCTGGGAGGGGGGAAGGAAGGACTTACTAGTTCCAGCAGTCTTTGACTTACTATCTCTGTTTTTGAGATTGCAGATTAGGCATGTTTCACATAACATAGGGGGCGGAAAAAGAAATAGTAATTTTGGTTGGGAGACATGCCAAGCTTTCTATATGGTTGGTGTGGACAATGAAAGGGGGAGTAAAGGGGTGAGGAGGCAGGGAGGCTATTGGCGTAATAAACAGGCGGTATGCTTCATCTGTCATTCTTGAGCCTTTTTTTATGGGAGGGCAGAAGGGGAAAGGAAATGCTGATGAAGGCTACTTCTATTATTGTTTCCACACTCCTGGCTCAGGGGTGGGAGTGAAACATCTGTTTTTTGCCAGAGGGAAATCTGAGTTCTCTGCATGCATGGATGTACAATTCCAGCTTCCGTCTGTGCTCAGAGCAGGAGTCACCTCTTCTCCATGACCTGGAACCTCTGATAACGATGAGGAAATTTCAGCTTTTTTTCCGGATGGGCTTTGTGTTGCTTCCAAAAGAATGTTTTTTTTCTTGTAAGAAATATGCTGCTCTAATATAAGAAATATTTCTCTGGGGCCTTTCATTTGAGGTCATCTAAAACATGAATCCTTTGAAAAGAGTGTTATTTCCATTTTCCAGATGAGCAAATTTACAAAGTTCAGAGCATTGACTTGACAGGGCTTATTGAAGAGTAGAAAGTCTACTCCTTCTCTATGTCCTGTATTTTGACCACTAGGCCAGGCTTCTTGGCTGTGTACAGAACTGGTAGAGTTGAGGAAAGACTTGGGCTTGCACAATGTTTACTTGCAGATCTTTTGATTCCAGAATTGGCACCTGCAGAGCATGCAGATTGGGAGTCTTCCTGTCTAGTTCTGGTCAGTTGAGATGTAGAAAGAAAGTGCTTTGTGAATTCAAGCAGGCCCTCATCAATGCACTTCCATTGCTGCAAAAGGAGGTGTGGTATCTGTGACTAGTTATGTCCTGGGGTATGAACAGGTGTTCATTCCTAGTGGCGGAAATTTCTGAGAAATCTTTCTAGGAGGGGAAGCAGTACAGGTGTTCAGCCAACAGCCCCCCTCTCTTGTGTCCTTGTGTGTGGGGAGCATTACCCCTGCTGCTGGCGCAGTGGGGCAATTCCCCCTGTGCCTTCTCCATCCCAGGGTGTCCCTGGTCTCGGGAAGCCTTGAGGGGCAGTGGTAGCTCAACTCCTCCATGACTGGGAGAAGCTGAACTGTAGGGAAATGTCTCCACCTTCCTCAGCCTGAAGTCCCCCAGTCCAGGGAAGGCGCAGGAGAAGCTGCTGCTTGACACCTAGTCATGGAAGAGGTGAGCAGTGTGTACGTGTTGATTCTTGCAGGAGACTGTTTCTCACAGAAGAGATTTTTCATGGTCAGCCTGGAGGAGCCATGTTTTCTGTGGGAGAAATTGAATAAACACTTGTATGTTCCCAGCTCTACTGGGAGAGTGGCAAATCTCCCAGTAGAAATGTATTGCCTGTACAGAGCTCAGGTTTGCATGAGTGCTGATACAAGAGTGGAATATCTGTGAAGGAGTATGCTAGCTTCCTTTTGGGTTTTTTCTTTTCTTTCCTCCACCCTCTCCAGGTAAAGCGTAGCTTCCACAAAGCTTCTAAGTTCCTTCTGTTGTTACAGTCTCTCCCTCATGCTGTGCTCAAGTGCTCCACATTCAGTGTCTCTAGCTGCTCACTGTCAGGTGTCTGGAAACTTGACTATATGGTGGGCTGCTGAAACAGCAGATGTGTTCTTCAAAGGTCTGGCTGCAGGCGGTTTATGATGAGAAGAGTTAAAAATTGTGTTTTTTTTTTTTTACTGAAGGGGAGGCTTCTAACTTTCTGTATAGGCTGAATTGCCTGCCTTAGCCCATACCAATGAGTTCACACCACTATTTACCAGTTCTGGCCAGGATTCTTGGGCCTGTTCCTGAACTGGCGTCTTTGCCAGCAGAGTTAAAATGGGCCGTTGAACAGCAGGAGGGTGGATTTGATTTAAATCACCATTTAAATCACTGATCAGGAAGCCTCTGGCTGAAGACTGGACAGGCACCTGGTTGGGATCATATGACCCCAGGGTTGGTGACTCTTTTCTTGCCTGCCAGGGGCAGGGGGTCAGGCTAGATGGCTCACTGAGGTCCCTTCCAACTGTCAATCTATAAGCTTCAATTTAATAGTTTTCTATAAAAAGTGCATTTTTTTGCTTGATATCCTTTATTCATTTAACTTCTTGAAACTTTGCATTTTTAGAGAGGAAAGGGCTTGACTCTCTGTACACAAACTTGCAGAGAGACCAGAGGGCTGATGGGTAGGTGATCAGGTCTGTTATTTCTCATCTCCATATATTGCTGGTAACGAGGATATCATCTCTGGGGACACAAATCCACAGTCTGAGAACAGAAACTAAGCATCACAGAGATGCTTAATGGGATCTTCTAGACTGAGCTCTGAGTCCCATTGTGTTGAGTGGTTTTCTTTAATCTTTACTAATCTGTAGAGGAGCCTCTGGGAACCCCATGAGATTGGGCTCCTAATATAGTTCATGGCCTGTTGTGACCTATTTATAAAACTTTTCTAAAAAGGCTACATATATATATAATCTCAAATAGTATAGGATTAGAAGCTATAATCCCTATTCCATGATGATATCTTTGAGATTTAACATATCTTAAATTAAAACTATCTTTATATAGGTTTTTTAAAAGCATCTTAACAAAAAAATTACGATTACATAAAAAATATCTGATTTAAATAGAAAAAAAATCCAACTTTTTAAATTTTTTTCAAAAGTTGATTTTTATCCACCCTGTTAACAGCTTTCTGATTGTTCTGCAGGGTTAATATTCTCTAGAAGTCTGTTTTCCAGGACAGATTGACAGCTGTTTCAAAGTCTCTGTGTTGTGTTCTTAGCTGTATCTGACAACAGTCAATGCAAGTTCAACTTGTCTGGTCATCCTGTTTGTGATACACAAGTATAATACACACTTATTTGTTCAACAACATTAGAGTATGTCCTACTTTGAACCACAGAGTATTTTAGGAAAGGCTAGGTGTGGGGGCTGTTGATGAGAAGGCATTCCTTAAAGAATTGGTTTTTAGGGAGAGGACTTGGAGAATGAGAGGGCACTTGATAATTAATGGGGATAAGGGAGAGCGGTGCAGGTGGAGGGAGCAGCATGCCATGATTTTACATGGGCAAAACATGTTTTGCAGCGATCTTCAGCGTGGGCTTTCATTTTGCATTCACCTTCTGTGCTGTGGGCTCTCAGCACCACAGTGAATCCAGGCATCCTTCACAATATGATGTAGGGAATTCTGATTCTGATTTGGCGGTTGGGATGACTGAGTATGAAGAGGAGGGATCTTATGTCATTACAGACTAATCCTGTTCCCTCATACTCAGGAAAGGTGTGGGCCATTTCTTAATCCTTTTGGAAGACTTTCCTATGACTTTTTTTCCCCCCTGTCTGAACGTCCGCAGCTTGCATGGCAGCACGGAGCTATGAAATTCTGTCTCGGACAGAAAGAATTTAGCGTACCGTGCATGTCTTGTTGTATTTTGCTTGGCTAGTTTAGTTTTGATTGTCCCAGCATATCAAAGCACAACTTTTGGCTCACTTGAGTGCTCTAGAAAGAAATCCAGTCTTCATTTATCAAGAGATGGAGAATCTGCTTAGCTTTTCTAGGCCTTTCCTCTGGAATGCATCTGGGACAGGCTATCTGAAAGCATGCCCCATGCTCCAGGCTTCTCTGATCTGTAATTTGGAACAACCTTTAAGCTATTTATGACTCAGATATATGCAGCACTCCAAAATTGTACTAAATAACCAGGCCCTGCCTCAAGGAGCTGTTAAGGTAAAGGCATGAGAGAATACAAATCCAGAGTAAGCTCTGAATGGTTGGGATGCTTGAATGATTCATTGAATAGTTGGGTATCAACATACCTGGAGGCTGTCCCAAATGAGGTGGCATGGATGAAGACCTGAGGCCAGAAGTGGGTGAGGGAAATGAGGAATGGTTGGGAGAGATGCATGGCTCCTTCACTGAGACTGAGGGTGTGGAAATGGATGCAACAGGTGTGGAAAGGAGGAGGAAAAGGTCTGAAGCTGTTCTCAAGGCGTTGTCTCCTGAATGAGAAAATGGTGTAAAATTTGCTGTTTTTGCAGCATTTCTTAGAAGGGCAACCAAGTCCCTTTTTAAAACCCAAATGTGTTAGACCAGGAAAGGGGGTGCTCTGGTTTGAGGATGAAATTAATTCTCTGGATTAGTTTATTATGAGATGCCTTCAATTGATAGTACCCAAGAAATGCAATGAATGTTGTTGCCAAGAGGAAGCAATACAAATAAGAGGCGTGTCTTTTATTTTTAATAAACCCTGCTGCCTCAACGAAGATGGCATGGAGGAGGATTCTTTTTTCAATTAATTTTTTTTTTAATTCTTGCACCTCACGAGCTCTGTCTTGTATTGACTATCTTCTTCCTCTCCCTTACCGCCATCTTTCCTCATCTAAGAGAACCTTTTACATCTTAAAGCTGGATGGACCGATATCACCCACCAGCTGTAGCCCACATTGACACTCAGTTGGGCTGTATTGATTTCTTCTGAGTTCATTCCAGGTAATTGGAGTCTTTTAGGAAAAATCTCCCCAAAGAAGCCCATTCCATGACCCTGGTGAAGGTGTTTCTTCAACTTCTGATTAAATAAAATTAAGTAGTTGATTTAAATATGGGGTTTATGGTCATTTCTATAAAAAGTTGGGCATCAGGCCCTTGGTCAGGAACATAACCCCCTATTATAACATTGTTTCCATGAGGAAAACCAGCTTTGACTTGCATCAGTTTGATTTACAGCGCCTTTTTCAGGAACATAACCCGCTGTAAGTGCGAGAACTTGCCTGTATTACGAAGGTGGGTTGTGGGGTGATCTGTTGTTCTGTAAAAAGTAGACATTTCAAGATGATCATTTCTGAGTTGCATTCACCTGAGTGGACATGTGGGGCACAGTGTATTTAATGTCCCCCCCCCCCCCCCCCCCCCCCCCAAATCCAACAAACGTAGAAAAGCCACTATGAGGAGCACAGAACAACTTCATCCTATGGTCTGAAGTGTGTCTGCAATTGGAGATGAACTAGTTTCTCTCTTTTTATCAGGGTCTGCAGCATGATAAGGTTTCACAACCTGTTCCTTGACATAAGGACAGGGCTTTCAAGAGAGAAAACAAGTTGTTTTTAAAATCCTGTCCTCCACAAATTTGCTTCCTTTTTCAGGCCTCAGTGTTCCCCTGTCACCTGCTTTTGAGCTATGGCTCCAGCCCCGTGTAAGTCACTGGGTGATAGAGTCCAGAGGTGACCGGTGATGGATTGGACAGACCTCTCCTGCTTTCAGCTGTTTAACCCTGCAGCCTGGCTAACGAAGATACTGAGCTCTTGTGTAGTACTTTTTCATCAGTGGCACTCCGGGCACTTTACACAGGAGGTCAGTCTCCTGACAACTGAGGCAGAGAGATAAAATGCTGACCAGTGCCATTCGGGCTGGGAGCAGATGTGAGAATACAACGCAAGCGTCCTGGATCCTACTTCTGTATGCCACCCATTGTGCCGCACTGCCTCTGACCTCCCGTTGGTGTGGGGGTGTAAAGAGGGAGGGAATCCTTTCCTATAACCTGTGAAGGGCTTACAGCAGTTTAGTCCATAATTACCCACAACAGGCAGTTGGTAAAATCAAGCTACATTTTTGCACTACAAAATGTCACCCAGTAAGGGAGAACCCCAAATCATCAGGATGCGTGTGTCCAGGGTCTGGAACAAACTCCCCCAGTGGTGGTGTAAGCACCTACTGTAGACTCCTTCAAAAAACAGGTGGATATATTTCTGGCTGGGGTCACTTGATCCCAGCTGACTTCCCGCCTATGGTGGAGGGGCTGGACCCGATGATCTCTTGAGGTCCCGTTTAGCCCCTAATGTCTATGAAATCATCACACCTTTCTCTCCTTTTTTTTTTTTTTTTTTTGGTTGCATCCCTGGTCTGCCTCTTGGTTTTAAAGCCACTCTTTGTTCACTGTTTAAGGTGCTGCTTAGTGTCTTTGTTAGGACCTTTCTGTCCCAGGCTGCGTAGCTTGGGGAGGCTGACTTAACTGTAAAGTTGTGCAGTCTGAATGTGGGAAGTTGGAGGCTTTTCCAGGACTTGCTGGGAGTGAAAAAGTGTCTGCCTGGCCGCCCTAATCAGAACTCTTTTTGTCTGCAAAAGCAACACGCTAATAAGGTGCTAAAAGTAAGGTGGCTAATTAAGTCCTGCACACCCTGGCACCTCCCTCACAGAAGCTAATAAAACCCAGCCAGCTGAAGTGGTTTCTTCATGCTTTTTTAATAACGTGAAGTTAAAGTACAAAATTCCTGCACTGCTGTTAAAATAACACGGTTCCTTCCATTTCACAAGTTCTCCTAGGCAGGATCTAAAAGTGCTGAGCTTAGGGATTCACTTAGTTTGGCAGACTGTGCTGTGGTGGGAGCAGGACAGACAGGAAATACAAGCTTCTTAGCTGATTCACAGAGCAAATTTGGCCTGTTGGCAGAAGAAGCACTAGCTTCTTGACTGGGTATAATTGGTAACGCTCCTGGGAGGTACTGAGTGTGTTAACACGTAGGTGGTAGTATGGGCACAGCCTCTTGCCAGAGGAGTGTCTTGGCTGCTCTTCTGCCTTGTGCTAAGGTAGTGTGCACGTAGCAAAGGGAGCAGAAATGCTTCAAGGCTTTACTGGATATTTTTCTTTCAAAATCTGCAATCTTTGTCCTTCTAGAGTTGACAACGTCTCCAGTCAGCGAGCCAAGGAAACCGGAGCAGCTTCTCATGCAGACACCCCCAGGGAACCCGCTGATGCTCTCCCACACCCTACAAGAGCTGTTGAGTAAAGACATTGTGCAGGTGGAGCTTATACCGGAGAAGAAGGGCCTCTTTCTGAAACATGTGGAGTATGAGGTTTCCAGCAAGGTAATGTGAGTGGCCCCTGGGTTGTGGGAGAGCACATTTTCTAGGGAGCTACCATGCAGTTGTAACCTGTGTTGAAAGGCAGGTGACCAGCCAATTTGGCAGACTAGTTGAGGAAAGGGTGAGTCAGGCAGTTGTGCCAGTCTATTTTCAACTGCAGAGACAAAACTGTACCTTTCCTGTACTGGGCATTGCTCTAACTGGGGCTGAGATAGTGGCTTTGCTAAGTAGGTGGACAAACTGTACATTAGACCATAATGACTGAACTCGCCTGAAGTCTGAACTGCGTATCAGTGCAGGTGTTTAGAAGTGGAAGTCTGTAATGAGCAGTAGTCTGCATTAGCTTGGTATTTCAGATATGTTAAGAGCTCACGGAAGAGACTGAGTTGACAAGACTAGGTATGACGAGGAATAGGTGCAGCACAATCGGCATCTCTGCAGGTTCTCCTCCCCTGTCATTTCCTGGATGAATGCCCAGGAAGTGAGTTACCCCAGTCTTGACCTGCAAGGCCCGCTTTGGGCCAAGAGGAGAATTATAAGGATTTTTTTGTCTCCTTTGTGGGAGTGTAAAGAAGATTGCTCACTGGTGTCTATTGGGTTCCTGATATACTTCACGCAGGATACTACAGATCAGTTGTTTGATACTGTGGGAATGGGTTTTTGTCACTTATGTCCTTAGTCAGAATCACCTTTTCAGCCTACAGGTTTGAGTGGTTCTCTAGCTCAGTGGTTCTCAACCTTTTTTTGTACCAGGACCCATTTGTAACCATTGATGGCCAGTTTTGACCCAGTGCCCCTCACTCCCAAC